TTTAAAGGCCATATGTTTTCTCTCATAAATGGAAACGACAGAGAAAAAAGGAAAACCATAGTGGGTGGATCAAATTGAGACAAGTGGAGAAAAGAGATCAAGAAGTGGGTATCAATGAGGGATTGGGAAATTGCTTGGAAGTGATATTGGCCAAATTATATTGTTATATCATGTGCATGCATGAATATGTAACAACAAATTCCATTAATATGTACAACTATAATGCACCAATTAAAAATTATTGAAGGAAAAATACCTACTTGCAAAGAATTCCAGATGTGACTGCTAAACATTATATTAAAAAAATATTTGCTAAGTATTAAAAATAATAATAGAAATACAACAGGAAGAAATGCTTCTGAACTACATGAATTATGACAGTTTAGTATTTATTTGTTTGTTTGTTTGCTTATTTGTTTGTTTATTTATTTTTGTACTGGCAATTGAACGCAGGGGCACTGGACCACTGAGCCACATCCCCAGCCCTATTTTGTATTTTATTTAGAGGCAGGGTCTCACTGAGTTGCTTAGTGCCTTGCTTTTGTAGAGGCTGGTTTTGAACTCACAATCCTTCTGTCTCAGCCTCCAGAGCAGCTGGGATTGCAGGCATGTGCCACTTCGCCCAGCTCTGAGACAATGCAGTATTTTTGTTAGGATGGAAAAAGACACAGAAGGAACAGAATAGTAAGTACAGAAATCATCCAATATGTGTAGATTAATTTTGACCTTGGCATCTATGTACTTTGATAGTAGGAAAAGAGCTTTTCAGAATGTTTCCAAAGAGCCTAGATATCCACATAGAAAATTTAACCTCTACTTCAGGTGGTGCATATAACGTTAGTTTGGGATAGATTATAGACATATGTTAGAGTTTCTGAAAGAAAACACAGAATGTTTATCTTACCTTGGGGAAGGTGAGAATTTCTGGGAAAGGAGACGGAAGTACTAACCACAAAAGAAAAACACTTGGATATTGGATTTCATTCAATTAGAAAAGAATTCTGCCCATTCTAATACTTCATTAATTTTTTTCCAGTATGCGCCTAGTAGAATTTTAACATAGGCAAGTATCCAGAATAGATAAAGAAGTCTAAGGGTAAAGAGGGGGGCAGGACAATTAAAAATGAGTAAAAGACTTTCACAGGCACTTCACAAAAGAAATTTCAAATGTTAATAAATATATGAAAAGGAGTTTGACATTAGCAGTACCAGGAAAATGCAAAGTATAACCAGAATAACATTCTACTAAAGAGCTGGGAGGTATAACTCAATGGTAGAGTATGTGCTTAGCATGTAGGTAGACTTGTGTTCAATAATTACATAGCTATTAAAAGAAAAAAATAGGACACTWCTAGACATCAACCAGAATGCTTCCAAGAGTGTTTGTGAGAATATGGTGAACATTAAATTTCTCATCATTGCTGATGAGAGCCTAAATCCATTTTGGAAACTGTTTCATGATTTTTTAAGATTGTTAAGACCTATCCTATTATTCAGCACTTTCACTCCAAGTTTCCTACCTAAGAGAATTGAATGCTCATACTTTCAAAAGATTGTTCAAGAATATTCATTGCACCTTTATTCATAATAGCTGCCAAAATGGGAAGAAAAAATATACTCCAAAGGAAGAATGGAAAACTGATATATTGCTAAAAACTGATATATTGCTGATATATTTGGTTTTTTGGGATTGGCTATATTGCTACAGACCACAACAATAATAGATCACTGCCATAAGAAAGAATATAGATGAATCTCAGAAATATGTCCAAAAAAAAAAAAGCCAAACAAGAAACAAACACTGCATTCTATTCAAGAACAAACAAAAGTAATTTTTGTTGATTGAAATTATTTCCTTTGTGTGTTACTGAGAAGGGCACAAGGAAATTTAAGGTGAAATAGTTGTTTTATAGTTTTATTAGAGTGATGAGATGGCTGTTTATATGTGTAAAAAAAAACATTGATCTACACAGTTAAGATTGGCGCATTTTATAATATTCAAATTATATCTCAATAAATAAAATACCAGATTAAAGGGTCAAAAAAGGACAACTTAATTGTAAAAAGGTATTTTTTAAAATTTTTTAATTTTTTAATTTTTTAAAAATAAATGACAGTGGAATGCATTATAATTCTTATTATACAATTTTTCATATCTCTGGTTGTATATAAAGTATGTTCACACCAATTCGTGACTTCATACATGTACTTTGGATAATGATGTCCATCACATTCCATCATCATTGCTAAACCCCTGCCCACTCCCTTCCCTTTCAACCCCTCTTCCCTTGCAGAGTTCCTCTATTCCTCCCATGCTCCCTCTCCATACCCCACTATGAATCAGCCTCCTTATATCAGAGAAAACATTCGGCATTTGTTTTTTTGGGATTGGCTAACTTCACTTAGCATTATCTTCTCCAATGCCATCCATTTACTGTAGAAAGGTATTTCAGTTGTTTAAGCCTGTCTTTCTTTACATACATAATTCATGATTTTACAAGTTTTATGCCCCTGGGGCAGTTATGCCAAATCTACCTCTAAAGACTTTCACAGAGAATCATGTAGATTATTGAGAATGACGGTATGTTTCCATATGCAGTAAAATATAATTAACAATATATTTTTACTGAAGTTTTCTATTTCTGACAATGAGCAATTAAATGTCCCCTGGGAATCAATTGTGATTTTAGGTCCTACATCCTTTTTCATAATCTTCTAATGAGTGTTCCAGGGGTTTGTCCTTTTGGAATTCATGTGACCTAACTGATAATTTGAAATAATCCTCTGGTAATATGGCATAGGGTCATTTAAGTGTATTCATTTATGACTGCAATGATTTTCACCAACCCAGAGGGTGAGCCACTCTAGTTGACAGGAAACTAGCCAAAAGGGTCCATGAGCAAAGAAATTTGACCTTGGTTGTCTTCTCCTGAGTCTCTTTTGGTATGGACACACAATGAACCAAGTTAGATGTTATTGATGGACTATGTCATCATGCCCCATACAAAATAAATATGTCCCAGAGTGACTGAATATGCACCATAGAATGAATATAAATATGTTCAAGAATTCTAAATAGCTGTACTCACAAATACTTGTACAGATTCTAGGCATTTATTACTGTCTTCATGCTCTAGGATTTATCAGCCAGGTTGCCATAGGGAAAACTGTAACAATGTTCCACTGATGGTAATTTCTGTCTTCCTTTAAATTAATTAGCCTTGATAATTTTGAATTGATTGAGACATAAGTGATCCATTGATTGTTTTATAGGTCAAGGATGGGTAGATCTCACTTGAGAGTATTTTTCCCTCCTTTTCCTTTCCTTTAGCCTAGGAAAAAGATCCTGGTTTGTTGGAAGATAAAAGCAGCTCATCATTGAAGAAGCTGTGTTTCCAGTGAGCTACTTGTTGGTGAGTATTGACCATGGGGATGATTTACAATCTAATGTATCAAATATTTAAACCAGTGACTAGTAATGATTAAGCTACTATTGTGGGCCATACATAATTAAAGCAACAGGTTTGGACAAATCAAAGAATTATATCAAACATGATTTAATTATAGTGACTTATTCATCAGATCCTAATTTACAACAGTTGTCTGGACCCATTTCACTATATTAGATATCACTTCATCTGCTCTCTAGCTAAGTAGTGGCTTAAAAATATTAATGTTCCTCTCCTGATTGCTATGAGCATCTAGGTGTGATTCCATATATACAAGAATCCTCCATTGTAACAATGATGTTCACAGAAAAAGAAATGTTTAAGGGCAAGTTAATAAATGCCTTGACTGATAGCAGAAGGAAATACTTCCATTCTATGAGGTTGGTAGGATGAGAGGAACACTGATTTGCCTCCTATATTATTCATTGAGCTTTAACGATAAGGTTATACAAACATTTCCCCCATCTTTAGACATAGTATTTAAAAATCTGTGTACAGGGTAATTATGAGATTCTATACTTGTGAGCTTTCTCACACACTCATGGGTCTTGGTTAAAGAACTCAGGCTAATCAGATTTCAGAAAAATAACTGGATAGGAACATGGCAACAGAACCTAGATTTTTATCCAATTTTGGAGTACTGCCGTCATTGCATAGAACTTCATAGAATGCATATCCCAAATGAAATATAGAAACTAATATTGTAACACCCTGAAAGAATATTTTCTGTGGGGTATTTGCCTTTGATGTTATCTATTAGTCATATATTTTGTCACACACAAAAATAATGATTTTCATGTTGCCTTTTGTTATCTTATAAAGTATTTCCAAAAAATACTGTTTTCCAGAAAAGTTACGTTGTTTATCAAACTTATTCCCCAAAGCAACAAAACTAAAATGAAAATGCCCCCAGAATAAATTTTGAAGATCTACAATTTATCAATGGGAAAAGTTCAATATAATTTGTAATAAACTATTTAAAAAATAGAAAACAAGACCTCATTCAGAATAGTAACCACAAGCAGTTTGTGTTTGTTTGGTTTTTGTTTTTGTTTTGTTTTAACAGTGGCTGTCAATTAAATTCTTTCTTGTTGGGTGGTAGTATTTTCTGTTTAACAGGTCAAAGAAGATTGATGACAGACAGAAAATTGGAGATAACCATGGGGTTTAGAAATGAGACAACCATGTCAGAGTTCACCTTGTTGGGGTTTCCTGCAGTCCAGCATCTGGGAAAGGTCCTCTTCCTGGTGCACCTGCTGGCATACCTAGCCTCAATCACAGGAAACATGTTTATAATCACTATCACCTGGACTGACCATCGCCTTCAAACACCTATGTACTTCTTCCTCAGCAGTTTCTCTTTCTGTGAATTCTGTTTCATCACCACTGTTATTCCTAAATTGCTGTCCATCTTTCTTTTAGGACAGCAAACAATTAAATTTACATCTTGTCTCACACAAGCCTTTTCTTTTTTATTTCTTGGGTCAACAATTTTCTTCCTCATGACTGTGATGTCCTTGGATCGATACCTGGCCATTTGCAAGCCTCTACACTACCCAACTATCATGAGCCTGAAGGTTTGTTTCTTTCTGGTGTTTTTCTGCTACACTTTGTCCTTCATTTTTATCACTGGTGTGATCCTGAAGGTTTCCCAGTTATCCTTTTGTGGCTCCAACATCATATCTCATTTCTTCTGTGACTTAGGCTCCTTAATCCATCTCTCCTGTTCTGAGACCAGATCTATTGAAATGCTGGCCTTTGGTATAGCTTTGTTTATCCTTTTAACATCCCTCATTATAACCATCATTGCATACAGCAACATAGTAGTCACAATCATGCATCTTCCATCAGCCAAGGAGCGACAAAGAGCTTTCTCCACCTGCTCTTCTCACCTCTTGGTCCTCTCACTGATGTACGGCAGTTGTGTCTTCATATATATAAAACCAAAGCAAGCGAGCAGGCTGGACTCCAACAGGGAGGCTGCTCTTGTGAACACAGTGGTGACCCCACTACTGAACCCTATAATTTATACCCTGCGCAACAAACAGGTCCACCAGGCTCTGAGGGATGCTCTGTCCAGGGTGAAATTGTAGAAATAGGATCAGAGAGCTTTGTGGGGAAGCTAAATCTTGTTCATCTACTTCAACTTCCCACTATGGTGTAAGTCTCCTCTACTAGAATTCCTACATGTAGTAATCTAGCTTATGTGAACTTTCACCTAGATGGATGCTGCCTGATCTTGCAACTTCTTTGATTGTATAACATTAGTTCCCTATATTGTGCTGAAAAGTATGTTCCTTACTGTTCTTCCCATTTGTCTTAAGTAAGCTCAAGTCAGACAACATTTACGGTGAGGCTAACATGTACAAATCAAATCACTGATCTTCCACATCTGTGTGTTCTCTAATTCAACTCATTGTAGATGGGAAATATTTGGAAAAAATTGCATGTTGTGTATTGAATATGTACATCCTTTTGTCATTTTTTCCCTTAATACAGTATAACACTACTTGTATGTTATTTATATTGTAGTATATAATACACAATATAAATAAATAGTATAAATTATCTAGAAATGATTTAAAGTATATGGAATATGTGAGCAGGTTATAAACAAATACTATGCTGTTTTACTAAGGGACTTGAGCATCCATGGATTGTGATATTGACAGAGTTGCTGAAAACAATTCTCCATAGATACTGAGGGATATTTTAATACAAACCCCTTAAGCTAAGAATAAAAGTGTCATCAGATTTAACAATTGATATTCATGACTCAACCTTGAATTTTTTAAGGTCCCCCCAAAAATAGACACCCTTCTTTACCACTTTATTTATTCAAAGCAAGTTTTGAATTTAGAAGAAAATTGCTTATGAAAATCATAATATGAAAATTATGAAAATTATGAAAATTATGGCAATTCAATATTTCTGTTTACATAAATTATTCACTGTAAGCTTATTAATTTTTTGGGTCTGTTGGTTTTAGAGATATAAATAGCTCAGTATATTTCAGTTGGTTGTGACTGGCACTTTTACTTTATCATCTTTCACCTTTAGCAAATGTTATTAATGAAATTTCTTTAGCACGTTTTAATAATGAACAAAATGAAAAAATCTTTTAATTTGTGCTTTTGCTGGTAATTGATGTTTCAGTTGATTGGAAGATAGGTGGTCTCAGTAACTCTCTTTTCTTCTTAGAGATATTTTCTCCTAACAAGATTTTAGAGGTGTCTTCCGGTATCTTTCAGGCTAAGCTAAATCCTGGTTGATATTTTATAGCCAATACTAAAAGAACTCATATTTAAAAATGTGTACAAGAAAATGTGTGCACTGATAATGTTGAGTTAAACTGAGTCAAGTACTGTTTGCACTTTCATTGAAGAAGTGGTTCTTTTCACTTCTGATTCCCCATGTTCATGTTATGTATTTGATTTTCTGTGTGTCTGATTTTGGTGTATATTTTCTTTTGCAGCTTGATTTCACAATTAATTATATTAAAGCATAACCTGACAAGAATTTTAGATTTTAAAGATTGTTGGCTGGGCTGAGAAGGTGTTCCAATTATAGAGTGCTTTCTTAGCGTACATGAGGTGCTGGGTTCAATCCCCAGAACTACCAAAACAATCCATCTGTTGACTGATTTAAATGTTTACTTCAGAACTCTGAGCAGCAATCTAATAGACTAACAATCCAACTAGAGAAAGTTGCCATAAGAACCCATGCGGAGGGTCACTCATTTAAACCTTGCAGTGTGCACTTGTTATTAAACTATTGAAGACAGATTTAAAGTTAGGTAGTTAGTGTAGTTAGGCAAATGGAGTCTAATAAAGAAAATGGAGTCCTGAGTCCAGGGAAACTAGAACAACACCTGGGAAATTGAAATGTTAATGTCCCTAAGGCCCTAGGCCATGCTAAAGGACTGTTAATGAAGCAGCTCCCAGTAAAACTGCCAGATGCTAATCAAACCACCCCAGACCCTTCCTGCCCAGAAGGCTCCTCCTGGTCCCATTGTTTCCAGCCTTTTGGCCTTCCCGCCCACATCCCCCATCACTTTGCAAGATAGAGGGAAATAAAGGACAGGAACTCGAAGAACAAAAGAAGATCTTAGATACAAAAGAGAGAAGACTTCCCCTTTCCACAATTCCCCTTTCAGGTCCCCTTCTTCCTGGTGGTGGGGGTGTCTTTTCTGCTATCCTTTAATAAAACCTTCCACTTTCCACTCTACTGCCTTGGCAAGCTTCTCTGGTGTTATACTTCAGCATTCCAGGAAGCAAGGACTCCTCAYGGTAAACGCCAGTAACACTATCTTCACAAAGTAGGGCCACCTTTACCTGCGTATCACTCTGGGTCACAAAGATCATACATACTAGATCACACTCTTCTTTGTGAAATGTTGTGAAAGGCTAGACAGAATTCTGAGTGTAACCCATAGAGAGTATCCCAGTGAATAACTTGTTTCTCAAAGGGTGAGTTTTCCCTAATTTGCCCTAAACAAAATTAAATGTTTAATTTTAGGATAACCGTAAATACACATACAGTTTTAAGAAACAATATAGAGATCTCAAGTTACCTTTACCTAATTTCCTTCAATGGGAACAACTTACAACGTATAATAAAATATCCTAGCCAGGATATTGACACTGATAATGTCAAGACTAGAACATTTCCAACATGACAAAGATGCCTCCTGTTGATCTTTTATASCCTTTTATGGTTATGCCACTTATCTCCTGCTGCAACTACTGTTTACCATTTCTGTAACTTTTCCATTTTAAGAAATAGATATGTATATTTATATATTAAATAAAATGTATATATTAATGTGTAYGTGTGCACATATATGTATGTATACACATATGAGAAGTAGTCTTTGGGGCTGGATTTTTCCACTTAGCATAATAATCTAGAGATTCATGCAAATTATTATGTTATCAATAGTTCATTCCTTTTTATTGCTGATGATTATCTTGCAGTATGTATGTACCATATTTTTTAAAAAGTTTGCCTGTAGAAGAACATATGGGCTACTTTCAGTTTTTAGTTCTTCCAAGTAAAGTTCTGTAAAGGTTTGTGTACAACTTTTTGTACCAACATAAAATTTCATTGCTCTGGGATAAATGCCTAGGAATGTAATTATTGGGTCATACGACAGTTGTATGTTTAACTAACTAGCTGTTTTCTAACAAATTGTTAACTAACAAGTTGTTTTCCAGAGCAACTGTGTCATTTTTCTCACCAGTGAATACATGAGAAATTCATTTTTTTGTATTCCTGTAAACATTTGACATTACTATTTTTTGTTCACTATGATTTAATATTAAATGTCCATTTTGTAGTAATGAATACAATACTTTGTATAAAATATCATGACAAAATTTCCAAACTATCATTTTTCTATAATTAAAAATTTTATTGAAATAAAATTTTCACAAGCAGTTGTGAAAGATAGATCTGAATGTATTCCACCTATTAAAAGCTGTAATTTAATATCACAATTCAGATATATTTTCATTTTAAAATTGTTATACAATGTAATTAATATGTAAATTTTGAGATTGACTTAAATAAAAGGACTCTCACAGAGAAAAGATTTTAATTTTGATAACATCAAATTTACCAATTTTTCTGTTTAAGCATCATGCTTGCATTTAACATTCACAGGTTAAAGAACATATAGGCTGATTCTGAGTTTTGGCTATTTCTCTCAGTCTAACTAAAAGTTTGTTGATTTTATTGATCTTTAATTTTTTAATTTGTTAAAAGTCTAAACATTTTTTTCAGTACTACAGACCAACTCAGGGTCATTCTACCACTGGGCTACTGATAGATCCAACCTGATCTTTTATTAAAATTGGGAGTCATCTCGTCACAAAGCCATGAAAAGATAATTTCGGCTTTACTATAAATTACTGCAAATTCTGAACCTGCTTGGAATGCCTGCCCATGCCTTGAACTCACCCATGCCTGGCTCTCTGACCAGATAGCAGCCCTCTCTGAAACTTTAGTGACGCCTCACAAATCTTGGCCTTTCCTGGCCAGACAACGACCCTCTCTGAGGCTCTAATGGTCCTCATAAATTCTGATGTTGGGGCCAGCAAAAAAAAAACAAAAAAACTGTAAACTACCATTAGTGTGATGCTTGTCAGAATTCTGTAACCCCCCTTTTGTGTAACTTTCTGGGCTATAAAGCTGGGCTGCAGGAAAGATGGGGTGCTGTCTTGTTCCTGCTGTTTTGGGAGGGAGAGGCAGCCCGGTCGGTCGAAATAATAAGCTTGCTTTAATTTGATTTTAATTGGAGTCAGTGGTCTTTTCTTGCATCCTGGTCTAACACTACACCCCAAAAACTTTAAAAAAAATATATTTTTGTTTGTTCTTTTTAGTTATACATGACAGTAGAATATATTTGACATATGATGCATACATGGAGTATAACTTCCCATTTTTCTGATTGTACATGATATGGAGTTACATTGGTCATGTATTCATATAAGAACATAGGAGATTAATGTCCAATTCATTTTATTGTCTTTCCTATTCCCATCMAAACCTTTTTAAAATTTATTTCTTTAGTTTTAAGACATGGTCTCACTAAATTGCCCAGGCTGGTCTCCAACTTGCAATCCTCCTGCCTCAGTTTCACAAGTAACTGGGATTACAGGTGTTCAACACCACATCCATGTTGACCTTTCATTTCTGACCACAGTCTGATAATCTTTTTCCATTTAGAGAATCAGGGATTAACTAGCAAATTAGTACCCTGAATATATCCTAGTGGAACAGTATTGACTGGATGTCAGTCAATGGAAAGGATCCTCTCTCTGAATCTGTCTCAAGGAGGGTCCAAAGAAAAGAGGTTTACTACTGGCCATAGTCACAATTGACCATTACTTATCCACCAATTTGTGATAGTCCTGATTTGACCAAATATTAGTCAGGCTTTACTCTACTTTATAGGCCTCTGAAACTGGCTTGTCCAAAGGACTGGGCAAACACTAGGTGTAGTACTGGTCAATCACAGTAGAAACATTTCCTAACAGAGCAAGAGACTAACAGAGCAAGCAATAAAAGAAAAACAGACACATTAAACGTT